AAATATTCTCAGAGGAATGTTAACATGTCTCACTGTGAGTATATATTTTTTCTTTTCCCTTTCTGATTTTTGCTTTATGTATCTTTGTTTCTTTGTTGTTAATGCATCTAATGGTTTATGATGTCTATCTTTTTCGAGAATTGTACCTTTTATCATTAAAAATAGTCATCTGTTTCATTTAAAATAAATTAACTAATTAAAAAATTATAACAAAACAAAAAGGTACATTGTATAGCACAGGAAACTATAACCATTATTTTATAGAGGAAAAAAAAGCAGTTTTCTTGTTCTAGAACTTCACATAAATAGAAAAATGCAGTATAAAGAAATGACCGTCTAGGAAAAGTATATAACGATTAAAAAAATAATAAGAGCCAAGATTAACACAAGAATTACTATATGCCAGGAATTATGCTAAGTATTTTATATGAATTATATAGCTAGGATTATCATTGACGGGTATGGTTTCGATTTCGATCATTCCATTTTGCAGCAGGGAAAACTGAGGCTTAGAAAGGTCACATGTCACATATATGCTGAGAGGACCGATGTCTCTAACAGGGTGAGCTGCTCAGGACCCTGTTCTTCGGCCCCGTCACTCCTCAAACATCTGAATCGTCAGGTAGTCTTGGCGGGCGACAGGCCACAGAGCTGCAGTCAGGCGCCACTAAGTGACCGAGCACACACACAGCACAAGCTTTGGAGGCACAGAAGGGCGTTTTCCTGTTGCCATGGATGTTTCTGGCTACACAGGAAAACCTAACTCCAGAAGGATCAAACCAAGGCAACAGAGATGAGAAGACCCGAAAGGTAAATGCAGAAGGGTTCTGCCTAATTGTCTGGGTCCTTGCATCCACCTGTGCCAGAGCTCAGAGCTACTCCTGGACTCCCAGTTAGGAGAGTCCATGAGTTCACTCTTTTCTTAAGCTAATTTGATGGGTGTCTGCCCTTGGCATACAATAACCACAGAACATAAAGACTCCACCTACTAATTAAGGAGGAAAAAGACAAATCCACAGTACAATGGGCGAAGCATGTGATTAGAAGGTCAATGAAGGAACAGCAGTGGAGGTTAATTCTGGAACTCCTATCTGGGGGGCCCATGCCTCTCTGTGGTGGAGGACTGGGTGCTATTTTATCTGCTCCTCCCGAGGTCTCCCCACTAAGACCCACACAGGACATCTACAGGTGGTGTCCAGGGGCTCTCTGGATATACAGCTGGTTTATCTTGGGATCATCTTATTTGGCTCCATGAAATCATCTTCCTTAAGTAGGGAGTTAGGAAACGAGAAATCGTTAATAATCCTGGAATATCGAGGAACGGAGTGAAGACCCCCCCCCCATTGGTTTCTGGCAGCACCGCGGAGGTGGGGGCTGGAGTGTGCTTCGGGAGGGCTGGAGGCCATTAAGGGCTCCTTTCCGCAGAGCCTGGCCGCCCTCCCCCGTGGCCTGCCGCGGAGCCTGTAATGAAGCCCACAGCTCCTCAAGGCACGGCCTCTCTTCTTTAATGTATGGCTTCTTTGGAGCAGAATCAATTACAGAGTTTTATTTTATTCCATCTCTATAAAATGGTTGTGGAATGATGCTTCTTTTGTGTTGAGAAAAAAAAAAACAACAGTCCCTGGATGGGAGATTGATTGATGTAAAGCAGAGAATTTGCAGCACAGATTTGGATCTGTGACAATTAACTGCAAAACTTTATTGAAAACCTACTCTGTACTCAGTGTTATGGAGGATTCCCAAGTGAGTAGAAATCATTATCGCTTTCAGAGAGCATTCATTCTAGTTTGGGAGGGAAGCTAGGGGACAGAGGAGCGAGTGGCCGTCCCTGACTCGCTGATAAGGAGAGAATGAGGATGACCGAGGAGGCGAGTGAGGAGGGAACTGACCATGTGTCCTGGAACTGGAGATACCAAAAGCATAGACACTTGTTGCTTTGGGACAGGAAGGAGGGAGTTTAAAATGAGTACAGCTGTGTATACGTCCGTAGGAGACTAATACCAGCCTGAATTCAATACAGCTTCATTTTGTTTCTTTAAACATAGTGTTGGACTAGAAGCAATGACAATCCATTAGACAGAATACCCATCATTCCCGGTTTACTAAAAGCAACCAGGGCTCCTTGGAAAACTATTACTCCAGGCAAAGGGCAGAAAAGTTTCAAAGACTAACAGAGACAAATCAAAAGGGTACAGAATAAGTTTGAAAAGCACCACTGAATAAATCTGAGATGATTAAGCATTTAAAAAACTAGGACTGCATTGGATTGAAATGCATCAAACATAAAAACTCAAAACTTTTTTCATAGTTACATTATGAGGTGGCTTGGGGAATCAATCTGGAGAAGGCAATAGCACCCCACTCCAGTACTCTTGCCTGGAAAATCCCATGGACGGAGGAGCCTGGTAGGCTGCAGTCCATGGGGTCGCTAAGAGTCGGACACGACTGAGCGACTTCACTTTCACTTTTCACTTTCATGCATTGGAGAAGGAAATGGCAACCCACTCCAGTATTCTTGCCTGGAGAACCCCAGGGACGGGGGAGCCTGGTGGGCTGCCATCTATGGGGTCGCACAGAGTTGGACACGACTGAAGTGACTTAGCAGTAGCAGGGAATCAATCTGATACAAGAGAAAGGAACCAAGTTATTTATCCGGCCTTAACAAACATGAGAAGGAAATTCTTCTCTGTAAGAATCATGGCTAATATTAATACATGGCAAAGGAATGAAAAGATTAGAATACCACCACTTAGTAACCCCAAATGAAAGGATCATTTTAGGCAGGGATTATTAATGTCTGCTGAAACTATCAGGTAAAGTTAAGGGGAGAACTCTGTAATGGATGCATCAGATTGATGACATTTGAACTCAGTGGTCAATCCTAACATCACTGAGATTGGACAGTTAGACATTTGTGCCTCCTGAGGAAGAAGTGATAGAACTTCATAGCACCACCTATGCAGTATTCTTTGAAAAAAAAAACCCCAAACTTAATTCTCATGAAGCTTCTAGATTTTACTGTGGATTTACAGAAAATATGGGGAAGACATGAAAGTACACCTTGAGGATATAATCTCCCAAATTTAGAATGTGAATTCTAAAGAACAAATGGTCACCTCAATCACAACTACAGACAATATCTGACTTTGACTAGATCCTTGATTCAGGCAAATTCAATGGAATTGTTATTAGCTGTTTTGTTGAGTGTAGTAAATTTTGTGGTTACATTATATATATATATTAGAATCATACACTAAAGCACTTAGAAGTGAAAAGAAGTCTGAGAGTTGCTTAAAAATAGTCCAGTAAGCTGAGGAGCCCTGGGAGCACAGCTGATGAACCAGGGCAGGGGGCCTTGGTTGGGGGGCGGTGATATCCAGACGGAGTGACGGTCCTCCCAAGCAGAAAGATCCAGTGGATTCTGGTGATCTGCTGAGGTCTGTGGGTCTCTCGAGCAAGTCTGTTCTGTTCTGGAAACCAAAAGTGCCCTTCTTCATCTTTGGAGACATGTTACTGTCCCATCCTGTTTTTCAGACTGTGCTGTCTCTACGGCTCAGAGGTCGGAAATCCATTATGAAGTCACTTTTCATTAGAATTTGGTCATCTGCATTTGTGTGAGGTGGTTGTGGGGATTTCTACAGTGGGTGGGGAGAAAAACTGTCTAAAATACCTATCATGAAAAAAACAGGACAGAATTTAAAGGAAAGAGAGGTGGCAGCTTTTATGAAAAAAGGAATAGAAGAACTGTGAACAAAGCTCATTTATTTCAAATAAATATGTATTAAAAAGTAAAAAAAAAAAGCAACTACAATAAAAAGAAAAAAAAAAGGATGTGGGAAATAGACGAAAAAGAATTGCAGAATGTCGAGTAGTATTTGATGGATGTATGGACTTATTCCACTATTCCACTTCTGTGAATTTTTGATGGTTTTCATGATAGAGCTTTTAAGAAATCCTGTTTCAGTCCCTCTGTGAATTTCTGCTGTGGAGCAGGGTTCTCCTGTTCACTCCCTATCCTGAAGTATCTATGGAGATAAAGTAATACAAGCTTCTCAGGGCAGTTTTCCAAAACAAAGATAAGCCGCCGATCCCCACAGCTGCCGCAGTTTCGCCGGGCCGAGCCTCCGCGTGGAGCCGGGACACTGAGGGTGAACAGCCGGTGCCCCGCAGCTGCTCGCGGGGCGTCCCCGCGGCCGTCAGCAATCAGGCTAGCCGGCAGTCCCCCAGGACGCTCCTGCTGCCCGATCAGGGCTAACTGCAGCCAGCACCTAGGTCCCGATCGATGAAATGGAAAAAGCGGTGCAGGGAGACACTGCCTCCCGGAGAGCGCGCGTCCGCGGAGCTGCAGGCCTGTTTTCTAGAGCTCACCGAGCGCGCCAGGGGAACCCCCGCCCTGCCCGTGTTCCTGGGAAACTACGCTGTTAAAACACGCTCGAGGTTGCCCTTTGACCCCCAGAGAGAGCCTTCTTTCCCCGTGATTTCGGTCTATCACTGAAAGAAACTTGTGTCCGCCAAGAATAGCCTCGCGCGGGTGGTTTCTTGGAGATGCCGCGTGTAGGGGGAGCGCGCAGCGGGCAGGGGACTCCTGCAGCTGGGACAGGGTTCCGTCCGGTGTGGGGTTTCAGCTGACCTCTGGAGTTTACTCAGAACAGCTCTTCTGCATCAAGTAGATTCAGTTCTGAGACGCACTGGTAGCTACTGAAAAAACTCACTTTAGATCCTTGCCAGTTTGAAATTGTGTGACTGGGCACCAGAGGATGGCGGGTTTTCATGGGAAGAATTTCCACTGACTACAAGGCTGAGCTCGGAGAGCTCAAAGATTGTTAAGATCTGGTCCTGACATCCAAGGAAGCCTGTGATCTATGCGAATTCAAAAACAGACGTCACAGAAAGGCTACTCAAACTGCTTATGAGAACGAGATAAGGAGGATTTTAACCCAGCACCGTATCTTCTCACTTAATTGAAATTTTTGTTAAAAGGAACCACACATATGCACAAGGAGTTTTGAGTTTTTACTTATTTTCAAATTCAAGGATATTATAATGAAGTCTGGATAGTATTATCTGAGAAAATACATTCCTGAGCTTACTTTAGGTAAGTTTCACAAGCAGGACAAAAAGTCCTTGCTTATCTGGTATTCAGGAACTAAAAGTTCCTCCATGTATTGGACACGAAGACTAAATCAAGCTGTGACTGTTTCTCCAGAAATAAAATGCCTCCTTTAAAAAGCTTATGAAAATCAGACAAGAGAATAATAACTACACTGTTATTTTGCAACTTGGTGCAGAGGCAAATTCTTGATCTTCTTGCACTGAATGCAAAAGTCTGAAAAGCATTAAAGAAAAACTATTGTTTTTTTTTTAAAAAAGATCACTATGTGTTCTTGACTTATTTACCTCAAATATAATCTAGAACTTTTTAAAGCACTTCAGAGTATCCATTTACTTTAAAATCAGATTCATTACAAACGATCCATTTATTCAAGTCGGACGGCAATGACTTGTTTAAGTCGCTGTGCATATTTAATCAGTAACTGCACTTCTGTTAAAACAGTAAGATTCAGATTTTCCCAAAGCAGTACTATACAGCTGTTTAATTTAGACTTGAGATGACTTCAAATGCCATAACCATTTTACAAAGAAATCTTTAAACTTCCTAGAGGGCTTCCCTGCACGGCGCCGCCCCCCCCCAAACCCCGGGACAAATGCCACAGAAAGGGACAGAAAGACCCCGGGGGGATGATCTGGGTTATGCTGTACGGTTATGTCTCTAAGGTTATCAACACTTTTCGTTCAGAAGACTTTCTGATAGGAGGGGATTCTTACCATTAATTTGTGTTGTTGAATCCGGACAAAGTCATGCAGGAAACTGAAAGTGACAGATAAGTTTCAGTGACTGGGTTCAGGAAGTCATCAAGAGAATAGAGCTTGTCAGTGACTGGCAAACTTACTTTCTTTAAGTACTATATTTTTTTTTTCAGAGAGTGTTTTCATAAAATACTCCAACTACAGAGTAAGGAGACAGGTTTTATAAACTGCAAAGGAAATCAAATCTCCTTTTTTACTACTCAGAACTCATACTTACTCATTTGACCCAAAAGAAGACCAGTATCACTGATTACATGGGCCTATAAAGCTGGGAGAAGGGATGGGCTGTGCCCAAGACTACACAATTTACTAACAGTAGAGGTGGTCCCAGAATCGGATTCTCTGTTTCTAATCCATTGATCATTCTTTGCTATTCTTTTGACTTTGCTATTTTTTTCCCTAAATTTGTCTCTTTATTTCCTTTTTCTCCCCATTCCCTATTTATCCTTTATCTCAGTTGGATGCTTTTAATTTCTCTCCTCTGCTTTTTCCTCTCTTTTCTTTTCAATTATGTAAATTTCCTGTAATCCAGAAATTGCTGCATGTGTGCATGCTCAATGGATCAGTTGTGCCCAGCTCTTTGTGACCCCATGGACTGTAACCCACCAAGCTCCTCTGTCGGGGGAATTTTCCTGACAAGAATACTGGAGAGGGCTGCCATTTCCTATTCCAGGGATCTTCCCAACTCAGGGTCTCTTGTGTCTCCTGCATTGGTGAGTGAGTTCTTTACCACTGCGCCACTTGGGAAGCCCCCAAAATTTCTGAGCTACCTGGAAATCTGGGTATGAGACGGTGTTGACAAAGGAATCAGCAGATGTATCAGGTGTTACAGACTTTGCTACCTCAAAACTGTGGGACAGTTTTACTGTTTAGTAACTAGAATCCCATTTTAGTAACCAGAATATCATTCAAACTTGATACATTTGATTATGCTTAAGTTTTGAGCAGTTAACAAAGAAGAATTCTGAAAANCCTTGAGTTATGATTAGCTTGGTCATAACTAGAAGGGAAGATTTTAGGGAAAAATAAATAGAATTAGATAGGCGTTGGGAAAGCTGGAATTGGGAAAAGTCAACAGACAAGGTAGGTTTCTGTATCATATGTCTATCTACAGAGCCCTCTTGTGTCCCAGACGGTAAAGAATCTGCCTGCAACTCAGGAGACTTAGGTTTGATCCCTGGGTAGGGAAGATCCCCTGGAGAAGAAAATGGCAACCCGCTCCAGTATTCTTGCCTAGAGAATTCTATGGACAGAGGAGCCTGCTGGGCTACAGGCCATGGGGTCAAAGAGTCAGACACGACTGAGTGACTAACACTTTCTACACTTTCTTTCTTAGGAGTACTTCACCTTCCTTAGTAGAGCAGGACTTGCTGGCTAGTTGTTATTCTGCTTTGGTTCCATTGTCCTTATTTGAACTCTTGTCATTCTAAGAATCCCAAAATCTTCCTTAAAGTCCTCATTTGATTTCACAGTGAATAGGTCTCTAAACTTAAAAAATATCCAACCCAGTGTGTGAAGTTAAGAGACAGCAGTAGACTCAGGAGTTAATGAGAAAAAAGTATTAGAAGAATCATACTAGAGTCACAAAGCAGAGAACTTGGGACCAAGCCCTGGGTGCTTTCAGATAAAGACAGAGTATCTGACTCCATCCTTGGAAAGGCAACTTCAACATCAAAAAACTTAAATCCTGGCAAAACACTCATTTTCCATATTTGAGTATAAAGTGGAACACTGTTTAATAATTAGGTAATACCTTTCTACTGTTTAAACATTCTCACGTGGTATACTTCTTTCTTTTTCAATAGCTTTATAGAAATATCATTCAGTCATTTAAAGTATACAATTCAATGGACTTTAGTGTATTCACCAAGTTGTGCAAGCATCACCACAAATCAATTTTACATTTTCACCAACTGAAAAAGAAAGTTCACACCCACTGGAAGTAACTTTTCGTTTCCGACCCCCAACCCACCCCTAGGTCAATCACTAATATTTTTTTTTTTTTGGCTTTGCCACACAGCTTTCAGGATCTTTGTTCCCGGGCCAGGGATCAAACCCAGGCCCTCAGCAGTGAAAGTGCCAAGTCCTAACCAATGGACCGCAGGGGAGTTTCCCTGTTGATCACTAATCTATTTCCTATCTTATAGATTTGCCCATTCTCAATATTTTATGCAAAGGAAATTATGCAATATGTAGCCTTTAGCAACAGGCTGCTTTCACTTAGCACTATGTTTTCAAGGTGCATCCAGTTTATAGTGTGTATCAGCGTTATCCAGGAAAATTCATTCCTTTTCATTGTCAAGTAACAGTAAGTCACATGGACATAGGACAGTTTATTTATCCATTCATCGGCTGATGGGTTGTTTCCACTTTTTGGCTATTATGAATAGTGCTCCTAAAAACATTTGTGTGGGCTTCCCCAGGGACTCACTGGTAAAGAATCCACCTGCAGTGCCAGAGATGAGGCAGACTCGGGTTCGATCCCTGGGTCGGGAAGATCCCCTGGAGAAGGACATGGCAACCCGCTCCAGTATTCTTGCCCGGAGAATCCCATGGACAGAGGAGCTTAGCGGGCTGCAGTCCACGGGGTGGCAAAGAGTCAGACATGACTGAAGCTACTGAGCACAGCACATACAGCACACAAACATTTGCGCACACTTTCCCCCCCCCCCCAAAATTATTTATTTTTTACGTTTGGTTGTGCTGGGTCTCTGTTACTGCCAGCGCTTGTCTCCAGTTGCAGAGAGTGGGGGCTGCTCTCAAGTTAGGGTGCACGGGCTTCTCACTGCAGTGGCTTCTCCTGTTGCAGAGCATGGCGTCCGGGGCGTGTGGGCGTCAGCAGTTTCGGGTCGCGGGGTCGAGGGTGCAGGCTTAGTACTTGTGGTGAATGGGCTTGGTTGCTCTGCAGCATGTGGGATCTTCCCAGATCAGGGATCGAATCTGTGTCTCCTGCACTGGCAGGCGGATTCTTTACCACTGAGCCACCAGGGGGGCCCTGTGTACAAGATTTTATGTCGACACATGTTTTTGTTTCTTATATTCTGAGGATTAGAATTAGAATATTCTTAGAAAAAAAGAAAAGAATATTCTTAGAAAAAAAGAAAAGAATATTCTTAGAAAAAAAGAAAAGAATATTCTTAGAAAAAAA